CAGTTGACATTTTCCTGGTGACATTAGGTGCAACTGTGATCTTCTCACCTGAAGTGAGTCTTCAGATAGCCCCCGCCCTTTCAGCCAATCAAATGCTAACATGCCTAAATCGGTTGTCTTAGAGACATAGCCTCTTGGAGGGCACATTGGAATGATCTCATATGACTTCACTACAAACATAGTGTGAACAAGTTCACTCAAATATTGGTATGGACAATTCTGTCCTCTCAATATATTGGTAGGGATATGTCCCTACTGTCCATATGCAAACCTTCGCCCTTGTGTGGAGGCTTAGTTAGTTGAGTTGAAAAAGCAGTAATGTCCTTGAAAGAATTGCTCCATTAAAGGACAAAGAGATATTCCTTCATCGTGTATTTATTGGAAACTTTATTCTTCAAACATATTCATAAAGTTTGATGCTTTAGTTTATACAGCTGAGCAGCTGTGCAGACTAAACTATTCTGTTGTGCTACTTTATCATTTCATTAAAATGTATTTCCTGGAATTGCACCAATTGAACACTATCGGTATTCTACCTTTAAGTAGTGTCATGTGCAGGAATTGAATTATACATAAAACCTGCAAAAAAATTGTACAAATTCTGTTTCTGTTTCAGTTTCAGTTTATTTTCAGCTACATTTACTTCCAGTCTGTTAAACGTGGCCCTTGTACTTGTTGTCCCACTTCACCAGAAGAGGGCGACACATACCAGGTCATGGTAATGGTGAGGTTCAACACTGTCAGTGGCTCAGTTCCTTTGCCAGTTCTTCTGATATCAAATCTGTGTCGTTCAGGGTCAAAAAGTCAAGCATGCAACATAAAAGTATTCAATCACAACAGCTTTTACAAAACGTCTTTTATTATCATCTCAGGAATACAGTTGACTGCTGTGCACAGCACATACGTACAAAAATAAAAGGAAAACCATTTGTAATATAGTATTTTACTTACTCGTCATCATATTTTTCAGAAACAAATGATTGGAGAAGTCTGTTGTTTCAAACTAATTTACAATCATTTCAATAATCGGAACTAAGGCAGAAGGTGAGGTATATGTTAAAAAAGAGGAGGGGGACTCAGAGGAAGCACTCTCCCCTCAGTGCAGGAATAGAAAACTGAGAGAGAAACACAAAGGCTGCTGGCACACAGGGACACACACACACAAGTCTGATCCCAGATCCTCCCACAGACCTCCAGCTCCCTGTGAACCAACACATTTTAAAACCAGCTGAACAGGTATGATAAGCACAATGGCAAAATCCAGACACTGGATCCTTAATCAAAGGGGGTAACACATACCTAGTCCATTCAGAACTCTATATGCATAATGGGGAATTAAGGAAGTAAGGGTTAATGTTGAAAGATTATATTTTTCTTAACCATTCACTAGCTTCTCTCAGTTACTGCTATATCATACAACCTTTTCTGCCTCGAAATAACATCATGCAAAAGTTGTAGAACTTGTAACAGGGTAATATTTTGTTTAGACTTTCGGTTCTCAAGCTCTGAAAATCTAACACCAAGCTAAGTTGCTTTAGGTGTAAACAATATCAAGTTCATTTCCCACAATATCAACTTATCATCATGTCTCATACAGCTTGAGGAGCCAGTGTAACTTTGCAGTTCCCATCATTCTACCACTCAAAACATTGCTTGTTGTGCTGACAGTGTCCTCTGAAACATACCATAATAAATCAAAAATAAACATACAGTAATTGACACAATGTTGTCATTAAAAACAAGTGCTTTTGATCTTGCATGTCATCTTGTTTTGATGAAAGCATAGCAAGGGAAAACAGCATATTCCCCCTGCTCAGTAAATTGCACTCCATTGCAAAAAGAAATAAATAAAATAAAACAAAATAAAACAAAATAAAATAAAATAAAATAAAATAAAATAAAATAAAACAAAACAAAATAAAATAAAATAAAATAAAATAAAATAAAATAAAATAAAATAAAATAAAATAAAATAAAATTGCACCTTTTGTATATTTTGACAAATTAGCCAAAATACCTCTCCAACCAACTCCTCACTGCCATGAGATCAGCCCAGAAAAAAGCTACAAATGATCATTTTACGATCATAGTGATGTGATAAAGGCTGATTAGTCAAAATGAGTAATAAGATGCTCAAGGCAAAATCCCCTAAACACAATTATCAATGGTGTCAATATTCAAAAACATTAAACATGACATCCTTGTAGTGTCAAGTTGCTCTCTTGGATCACAGTATTCAGTCTGACAGACAGCCTGGTAACTCAAGTGTCCCTTTCCTGGAAGCATTTGATTCGTTTTACGTGGCCTTTTGCTACATTCACCGCCAGCTTAAACCACACTCAGTGCTTTCTTTTGACACACATCTCTCAGTAGCCTCTGTGTTACTTTTTCCCATCACTCTCGTCTTCATCCTCTCCTGTGAGGAGAGTACAGTACATCAGCTTGTGCAGTCAGACAATGCCCTGTTATTCCTGACTCAAGGTAAATTGATCTGATACCATCTCTACAGTCGCTTTGGCAGAAACAGAATATGACAGGAGCGCGCTCAGTCGGACACACACACACACACACACACACATACATACATACAGTACATACGCACTCATTCTGACCAGATACTGCACATCTGTCTCTGCTACTAGACAGAAGCTGGAGCTTAAAGGGCATGTAAACCATTGCTCACAGACATTTTGTCAGTGCGTTACAGTAATGTTAAAGAGGGCATGAGGTAAAATATGATAAGATATATCTGTAAGAGCCTCACTACTGTCTTTAAATGTTATTTCACCAAGCTGGCCTGACTGGTAGTTTGCTGCTTACAGAATATTGCAGGTCAAGTACCGAAATTCAAAATCATCAAAAGTCGAGATCAGTTGCACCTCATTTCAGCATTAAAAAGATTCTGACAACTATTCTTGTCTTGATCGAGAAACAGCCTCACAGGTGCAGAGCTCCATAAATATAATTAGGTAAAAGTCATAGAGATGGACCAGAAAACACGCCTACATCAGTAACACAGAAGACAGAAAGCCTACATCTCCGACCTTGGTACAAAAGCAGCTCAGTTGAATAGGACAAGAATCCCAAGACCCTGCGCTGACTGTCCAAACTGACCTCAACAGACGAGGGGCCCACCAGTGCTTATGCTCAGGTGTTTCACCCCGCATTATCCACATCCTTGCCAAGTTAGACAAACAACCAGAGCCACATACAGAAGTGCCATCATTGCTATCTTCAACTTTGCCGGCTCTTTGTCCTCCTCTCTTTCCCCTTCGTCTCCACAGTGGAAAACTACAGTAGCTGAAAGAGAAGTGCCAGCAGTTGTTGAATTCAAGTATGGTATGCTGCATACACAAAGCCTGAATGAACATCTTAATATAACCCTTTGGTTCGGTGGTTTTTGCAACACTGCTCGTATTTCCTTTTTCACAAGAAGCCATACTGTGACTCAGTGACCAATCTGAATCTAAACAGCTCTGGGATCAATAATCACAATCCACATCATCTAAATGTCAGACAGACCGAGTTAACCTGAAGTATTGTTCACAAATCTCAGGATCATGAACGCTGAAGCCATTCCAAACTGGAGTATTTACACTATTTCAAATTAATGCAGCAGACTATCATATTCGCAGTTAACTGACTAATCGATGACATCCACTGTAACTTCATTCATTTCTGCATAAGCAGGTTATTGTTAGTGCCAAATATCATATCGTCAAACCAGTGTGAAAGTCAAAAAGCTCCTGTCATCACTTTTGTGATAAAGTCAACATTTTCAAAAACAAATTAAATAAATAAGTGTGAACCATCAACAATAAAATATCTACAGATCAGAAGCACCAACTCAATTTGAACAGGGGGAAAACGCAACACAAAGCAGACAGAACTGGAGGACATTTTGCTTCATAGTGTCAGGTCTATGATATTCTGCTACACAGATGCCCCCTTGAGCACCCACAACCAAAGACAAAAAAAAAACCCTCTCAAATTAAGCAGCTCTCAAACTGAGCAGTTCCACATACATACTAAAAATAAAAGCATGCCCACACATTCAGTACACACTCACACACTCACTCTGGCCTGATGATCCAGCTACAAAATTTGTGAAAGTAAAACCTGGGATTGTCAAAGCTCCCTTGGACATGATGGGGGGGGGTTGAGTGCCGACTCTAAATCTAGCTTTCCATATTAACATGAGGCTCCACTGGGTCCTGTGCAGCATAGAGTCTCAATTACTTAATTGATCTAATTATGGAAAGAAAATAAAGTGGAGAAACCTCTGGCCCTCTAGGAATTGGGCCGGTGGTGTCTGAGGGAGTGATGACTTGCGTTTCATTCCTATTTCTGACTTGAGCACCACGTTTCTCGCATGCAAGGGTAAGGGGGCCGCAAGTCGGAATTCAAGGCACCGCCACCTCATGACAAAGCAAGAAAAAACCACCACCATATTTGCAAGTGCTCTAGTTGCCCTGACAGTGACAGACACAATCGAACATAACGAATGGTAAATGTCCAAGTTCTTGATGGATGACAAAAAAAAAACGTTTTCAAGGAAACAAACTGTAGAAATTTCATGCACACATTTCTCTTTTTCTTCTTCCTCTTCTTCTCAGGATATGGTGCTTTGAGGTAATAACGTATCCGTTTCATTTCCAAAGGGATGAACCGTCATCCACTGACAGGGCAAGGACTCAGCCAATTCCAGCAAGCACCCATAAAAACTGAGGGGACAAATGACGCCTCTCCATCCCCGTCATATCACAAAATGATGAAAATCATAAAAGCAGCAAAGAATGGCATTTCCATAATTTTCTAATACAAAGTAAGCTACCCAAATATACATATAAAGTTTGAATAAATACTATCAGATATAGTTGTATTTCTTTCTTTTACAGTCCATGTCGTCTTTTGTGTTTGTACGTACGTATACGGTATCTATGTTACCTGGGAAATAATCCACGTGTGCAAATAAGTTTGTTATTGCCAGTTTTTGCTCATCATATTCGGGGTAGGAAGTGCGTTACAGTCATGGCAGTGGTGGCCTTGTTGCCCCTCTTCACGCGGCCATGCTTGCTGAGTGCTATGTAGGAGCCTCTGTAAACCAGAGATTCATAGGCGTTGTAGTTGTTTGGGAGCAAGCTCTCCTTGAACTTGCACTCGTCATGGAAGACTGTCTGGAGAGGACAAAGACAGACAGTTTGCAGTTTAATGAACAGCTCAAAAAAGAGACAGTTTGTAGTTTGAAGCTTTGATGACAAAACATTAAAAAGCTCTTTAAAAAGATTTTGAGCCATGCACAAAAATATAAAGATAAATATAGATTAGACACAGCAGTGGGAACGACAAGTAAACATTTTGACAATGTAGAGTTCTTTGTTCAATCACCCAGCGGCACTGACTGCTCTGAAATATCAAAATACATCAACTGTTCTCCTTGGAAAAATAGGTATTAATGTGATCATACACAATAAGACAAATAATCTATTAAAACAGCTGATATTTAGAAAACAATTATCGCTAAACATGAAGCTACACAGGCAGACAGTTAGCTCTGGTTAAGTATAACAACAAGACGCGGCTAGCCTGGCTGTGTTCATAGGTAGATAAATCTGGCTACCTGGCACCTCCAAAGCTCACTAATTAACACGTTATTGTTCGTTTGATTAATCAACAGTCCAAATAACAACACAACCTGATTAGACAAACTAGATATATTGTGTTAGTTTGTGAGTTTTGGAAGTACTGGGTTGAACAGAGCCAGGCTAGCTCTTTCCCCCTGGTTCCTGTCTATATTGCTAAGCTAAGCTAATTGTTTCTTGGACCCTGTTTCATATTTAGCAGACACATATGGGGATGGTATCGAACTTCTCATCTACCTCATATCTGCAAGAAAGAACATACGTATATTTCCCAAATGTCACCCTATAATTTTAAATGAACCGTTTTTAAAAGTATAATCTTAAATAAATATTTAAATTATACAATTAGCGGTGAAATCACAGTAAGCTTTAATAAAGTTCTAAATTAAACTGTCAGGGAGACTTGTAACAGTGGTAACTATTTTCCTCATAAAGTACCTTTATATAAGAATAAGCTCTAAATATCTGCCACTATAAAGAACAACTGCTCTGCTATGCTGAGCTGACAGTGCATGACTCATACAGTGCACAGCAGCAAATACTGTCCGTCAGAGAGCATGTGGCCTAATTCAATCTCTTATCAGATCATCAGCCTGCTCACAAGCTAACGCTTCATCACTCATGACCAGATAACCGACGCACATTCTGTCTGTCAAACATGTTGGCCACAGCGAGCAAACCAGCACCCACGTGTCAGCGAGGCTCTACTGAACACGTTTCCTCCCCCTACCAGCAGGAACATTTATATATTAAGATCTGTCATTACTCTGGAAGAAAACTAATCCCATCTTCTAAAGGTTATCTCCAGTAATTCTAAATAAAAAAAAACGCCTTTTTTCTGTGATGAGGATGACAAATTCAAGTTCATGTGTGCTAGAATTGACACTTCAACCAAAAACAATTCCAGCTGAAACACTGGTTCTTTGTTATCAAACAACAAAACATAAAAACATCAAGATAATAAAATGTGGGTGCATAATAAAACTTGATTGCAACAAAATATCTGAATTAGAATTTGATGAAGTTCGTCTGGGGAAAAAAACTATGTATTAAGTATGTACAGCCATATTCAAGGTGTCAATTTACAACACGTGTGGACAGGTGACTGGGCTTTATATGTTCACATGTATTAACTGAGGCTGAGAATTGACTTTGGGTCTGTTTCCTATTTAATTTACTGTCACGTAAACCTGACGTAAAAATTTAGCTTACTCTTAAAAACTGCCGGCAGCAAGGGACTACACACATCCAACACATTCAGTAGCAGGATAAAATGAAGGCCTCTGGGAGCTTAAATTCACGCAACAATAAACGCCATTGATAAAAATACGCTGGTATTTTGTGGAACACTAAAATTTTATTTTATAAGTTTTAGCCCATTATTGCTGCTCTGAGGAATTTTCAGTTTTTAAGAGGGTGATTGTCTGTATTTCAGTCATTTAAAACATAATAAAACAACAAATAACTGTCCAAAAAAGCCAATTCTTTAACAATGGTGAGGAATACACAATCAATACATTCAGTCTTGTGTAGCTGTTGCTCTTAGACCTTGTATAAAATCCTTTATCTGAGATCCACATCAGTTTTATTAGGCTATAAAGACAGTCTCCCATCAGATTAGAAACAGAAAGTTTCCATGTTTTCCAGCCTGGGATCTACAGAATTACTGCTATACTGATGAAACTCAGTTGTTATATAAGAAAGTTGCAGGATAGGCACAGGGTATGAAAAATCCAGGAGGTGCTCTGCAAACTTAAGTGAGCACAAGTGCCGTTTGGTGAGGAGGCTGGACAACCAAAAAGCTGTGAGGAATGCTGACCAGGAAACTTAGAGACTGATGTTATTCCGTCAAACTTGTAAATGTTTAAGAAATGTATCTACTTTCTTCATGAAATTCACTAAAATTCAAACAGTCACACCTGAAGTTTCTGGTGGTTAAAGTCTGGGAGGCTGCTGGTGCTGCTGATGCGTGTGATGTGCACTGCACTGCGAAATAAGCGCTTTGCCATTAAAATCGATTTCCAACTCTGCTGACAGATTTCTTTGCGTCAGGGGGTTTTCCCTGCTCCTCACACACATGACCGCACTACAGGCGTGTGGACTGAGCCCTGCATCTGTTAACCTCATCATTATTTACCCATCGGCCACCAGGCCGAGCACACTTGCTTTAAATAGAGCTTTATAAATTCCTGATGAAATTAAAATATATGGATTTCGCAACACACATAATGGCAGATAGAGCAGGAGTCGAATCTCAAAATATGACAGGCAAATAAAAATAAATAGATAAAAACGCTGATCAAGCTGCAACGCTGTCCCATTTTTTTTCAGGATCCCGTTAACTAATATTGCTGGACAATAAATGAAATACTGTGCATACCTACCGTTCCGTATAACCTTCCACGGCTGTTCATTGCGACAAACAACTCACTCTTCACCCCGTATAGGCTCACCACTCCTCTCTCCACCGTGGAGATTTCTATTAGACCTGATTGGGACAAAGAAGAGGCCCATCACATTAGAGTCAAAATAATCATGAAATACCACCCGATGATCCCGGCTGATTCACTCTTATACCATGATGACTGTAGCATTGTGCTCTCTCTGCGTCTATGGGTGTAACCTTGCAGATTGCTGCGCAGCATGCCGAGCCTTTGTTCTGCATCTTTCACCCCATCTTACATTGGCATCCAGGCGCGTGTCAATTAAGCGCATTCTGGTTATTGCAATAATTGCAGTAATTGCATTGACGTGCACGGCCATTGGTCTCTGGACCGCCCTCACAGGGCTGCGTAAAAATAAGTTGTGTCTAAAAGCGTCCATACATTCATGTCATGGTTGAGCTTGGGGAAGAGGGGGAGGAAGGGGGGGTGTTCAGTACTGATGGATACTTGTTTTAATAGATTTGTCTTTGCCGTGGAGGAAATTCAATGCTCCCTATGAGCATTGATGACATATGATCATGCAAATTAATAGAGGGGATAGACTAGCCTGCTCATCACAGATCCATGCTTATTGACTCTGCCTCTCTTTTATGTCTATTGCATTACATTGGTGGAGGTAAAACTCACTGTACTGGTTTTCATTATGTACACCGTTTATCCTGCCGTCGGGGAGGATCTGAAGGTGAAACCCGATGCCCACGTTGCAGTAGAGCCTCCGCACTCTTTTGATGCCCAGCAGATAGTCACTCTCCCAGTTCAGCTCCGGTTTCTCCCCGGAGATCCCCAGCACAGAGCGGGAGAAGAGGGTCTCCCATCGTTTCTCCAGTAAAGTTGCATTTGTCCTGCTGCTCGGTAAAGGGTACGCTGACACGATCCCCAGCAGAAAGCCCAGGAGAACCAACGCGGTCAGCGTCCAGTGCGGCGTGCCGGCCTCGCAGGACATACTGACGAGGAACCTTTGCGCAACGGCCATCCGGTTTACCTTCGGACCACGTGGTCGAAATTAATGACCCTAAAAATACCGCTCTTCTTGTTTTGCTTCCTTCGGCATGCTGGCTGAGGGTTATTTTTGGAGCGCAGATCAGGGCTTTGGGCATGAAACGCAAGCCCCGGTGCAGAGGAGGAGAGGAGACGGGAGAGTGCGCGGCAGAGCTGGAGGTGATGGTGATGGTGATGTTGGTGGTGGTGATTACCATGTTTTGCAGCTCCTCCGCGCCTCTCTCTCTCACACACACTCTCTCTTTCTCTCTCTCTTCCCCCTCTCTGTCTCCCTCTCGGTAAGAGTTCAGAATAAATCCTTTACCACTCACCAAAAACCCTGTTTCAACCTTGCCAGGGATATCGCATCCCTAGATGACATCATGCTGACTTCACCGCTGGGATAATACAAGGGTAGAGAGGGTGCTGACAGCAGGAAAAATACCAAGTCTGTGGAGAGTTGAGGGGAATGGCCCACTGTCACTGCTGGGGTGGAAGGAGAGAAAGCTTATTGGTGGCGTACAGCGGCCGTGGGACGCGATGGGGCACTCGGGCTGCTCCCAAATTGGGTCGGTGGTCATATGTCTGTCAGGCCGCTTCCTTATTTAGAAGGAAGGTGTAAAAACAGGCCCACTTGTCACCGGAGACAAGTGGGCCGCCGTTCTGCTGCGCAGTTCAAGAACTTTCCCTCGCAAATCTGTGTTTTTCTGGCCCTAAAATCACATATCAGCTGGACCCAGGAGCCAGCGCGGCGTCCTCCGCCCCTCAGCCGCAAAGATCAGGGTTCAAGACTTCATTGTCGGCCAACTTCCGCCCTGCTGACGTGTCCTTGAGCAAGACACCGAGTCCCCCTGAACTGCACTGCGCGGCTGGGTAACGGAGGCCCTGAGTGGCATTTTAAAAAAAGTATCATATTTTTATAGGTACACTGTAACCCCTGCATTTCCTATGGTGGATTCGTGAGAACTGTGCGGAACAAACTGGAGAGGCCCGTCATGAAATGGCACACATTGTCAGCATGCCATTCCCTGCAACATGAAAGCCTATCGTCTTTTCCATGTAATAGATAATGCCACCAGCAGCATGCCCATGCGTCAGTGGGGCCAGTGCAGTTGCGTCCCAGCAGTCTCTCTTGCACACATCAGTTCCCCAACATTTCCAATGGATGGCACCATTTCCAAGTAATTTCTTAGACACTTGTCCACAGCCTTTACTCCTCAGTGTCTGAGACCCAGCTGCATTAAGTTTTATGGACAGTATACCTGCCAGAACACTGTCATATTAAGAGCCTGACCAAAGTGCGTTTCAAATTTAATGATTAACAATTATCTAAACAAAATCTATTGACCCCTGTTATGTAATATTCGGTTTTAAAGTTCAAATACTGTATTAAGTAATGACCAATAATGTACCCGTTTCTCAAAATTGGGAAGGTGCATGCTGTTTCACAAAATTACTCAAAGACAACATCTCATTGACAATGCAGTTCTTTTATTTTGTATAAAATCTATTTGGTAACTGCATATTTATACACAATCTAATGGATGTATAATGAAAATTAAATACAACTTTTTGTTATGGCTGAATGCATTTATGACAATGAAACAAGTGACTGAAATCTTGTGATTAAAAAACAAAAAAACAACCTGATTAATCACATTAGAATATGACGACTTCTGACCATTGGCACCTTTTTGTCTGGAACAGGACATTTGGTTTAGAGCAACAGGGACTGAAAACAACTCCACCTATCCAGTGAGAGTATCTGCAGTGTTTATCTGTTAACAATATAACAGATCTCTGATAAGGAGAAACAAGTGGTTAGATAAAGACCCAGATAAAGCAGTATTGACAAAATGACGAGGTTTCTTGTTTGCACCAACTGCACCAGAAAAACAAATCTGAGCTGTGTAACAGGAATAAAAATGGTCAACTATATGAATGAAGACCACAGGTGGAAACTTTCAGTATTCTCATCTGAAGCTGATTTGATACAAACTGACAGCAGACATCAGCAACAGGCTTCGTGATGTTAACAAAACTACAGGATAAAGTGGGTGATGTTAAATTAAATTATAGCTTTGAGGATGCTTCTATATCACATCTATACAAATAATTTATCTCTTTCACAGAAACAGCCTTCACCCTTGCACCTATGAAAGATGCCAAAGAGGCCAATAGTTTAATACATGCTATTTTGTAATAAAAGTATAATAAATAAATACATATGTACAAAAAATGTTTGAAAAATGTACAGGCACTTGTAAAACAACCTTTCCTGACACTTAAGGTTCTGCTTGGCAATATTTTCCTGTGCATTTAGGGGAGAAAATGATCATTTCTTTTTTTTTCTTTTTTTTTTTTTTTAAAGCATATGACTAAGCAGTAGTGTCAACATTACAAACAAATCCTCTGCTGTTTCTTTTTACTTCTCCCATGCTGAGTGCACCTCAGACAAAAAGATCCTTCAGGACTATTTGTATCCACTGAACCTAATTCATCACCTCTTGTGTGGGATCAAACAACCTGGATGGTGTTTGCATCAACGGGCCAATTTTAAAAGCTCAACTGAAGGCCACAATACATTGTAACATACAGCATCTTATGGGCAAAGGTCAATAGAGGTTATTCTAACCAATGTGAATGACTGGTGTGTGAGTTGTATCACTTTTCATTAGCCACACACTTAAATATTACTCGGTTTACTTTCTCACTATCTGTTTTCCATGTTATATATACACACACACACACACACACACACGCACGCACACACACACACCTCAACTCAACTAGCTTGGCCTTCAGCCCATCAATATACAGTGCCTACTCTCAGATCATTTTCAGTAACCAAACATTTGCATTTACTGCATGACTTTTTGGTCTTTTCAGGAATGGCTGCTGTGAAGTGGGCTTCTATCAGACATCACCCCCTGCATGTTTACTGTTATACAGCATTACACAACAAGCCCATCTGGATGTCCTAGATTGTCATTTGAGAATACAGTAAAACATGAGCTTTTAGGCCGCAGGGAAAGCGTTTTAACAGTGGCATAAGGACAGGATGAGACACTAACACAAGGTACTAACCTGAGACGACTGTCCTGATCAGTAGCATTGTTAGACAGGATGAGCAGTCCGCTAAAGAAGACAACTCTTGATTATCTAGAGAGAGGGCGTTTGATGCAGTATTCCAGTTCCAGTAAAAAATGAATTCTTAAACCACCACAGTTGATAACATCACCTCAACAGGTTGCATAACAAAATTCCCATAGGGATGTACAGTAAATTTGTATACAAAATATTAACAGTAAAACTGTTCATAAAGTAATAGGTTACACTGGGGGCTATTCCACCAATTTTACACACAACAGTCAGTTTACTTGTCACGGAGAGTACTTCTCAGCTTTCTCAAGCCTGACAAGACAACCGTGATGACGTCATAGTGATGTCAGCAGGGTTATCTTGACTACAACTATTTGACATAAAACCTTTGTTGCAAACTGGGGGCGTGAAGTTTGAATGATGACGGCATTTAAAAACCTAGACAGGGTCTAATGAAGGATGATATTAAGTTGTATGATGGGAAATGTAGGATCCAGCATTTTGGAGCTTGACCAGGTGAAAGGACTAAAAGACAAGATATTTTGATCATTCTGTCTCTTGCAAATTCCCCAACTGTGCAGAGTTGTAAGACTAAATAACTGGAGTACACCTTTGAGTGCGTTTTTCATCCTGGATGGAAAGGTTAAATGATCCTACTTGTAATGCTATTTTCTGAACGGGCAGAAACAATGCATTCATCGATCCATTCTGCCCTTATAGAGAAACACATGGCGTGCCTCAATAAGATGATGACCAGTCCCCAGACTTGCTTATTGATGCTGAAGATGAGTCTGTACAAGCCAATACTGTGTTTGACGTGCTGTTTTCAGTACTTAACAAACTGTAGATTTAAAAATTATGAACAGGGCCACAAAAAAACAAAAAATGTTAGTAGCTGTGTATCTGAGGTTGATGAGTTCTACAGTAAATGTGTTTGGTGGTACCTGAGGAAAACAATGGACAGAAAATGTGTGACGACAAAACATTTTTAAAGAGATTTCTATAGAATTCAATAGCATTCAGTACAGAGTACCACACCTGTCCTGGGCACACGCTGGGTGTTAACTCTTCAGGTGGCAGGTAACAAACCCTGCTGTAACACGGAAACTGCACTGGCAGATAACATGTCTCTTGTGATATTTTCTCATACCCTCTCTCATGCCCTGCCACATACTGACAAACACACACACTTCCTTGATGCAGAGCTTTCATAAAAGCAAGCACAAGGACGTAGAGCAAGGCATTCTGGGAACAGTAGTGCATTGCTGAGTTCAACCCATGGAACCTGAATGATTGATTATTTATGATTCCATCACTCCCACATCTTATCCACCTAATTCTCAGCTTTTGAGGTCCTTTTGGTCAAAGACAATTTGACTGGCCAGGTAGATGGCGACAGCACCAAAGATGGCCGAGCAGGCGATGTAGGCAGTGACAGACTGTGCGAACTGAACAATCATGCCCATGAAGAGGGTGGGGAAAACCTGAGAGAGGAGGAAGGTGCTGTCTAAGATGGCAAAGTCCAAACCCACGCCACGTTTCTCATACCCCAACTCTGCCTCCTCTTGTTCAGTGCCACCGGCGCTGTGAGATGAGCCGTTCTGGCTCTGTGGGCTGGGGTAGTACTCATAACTGTCCTGGTTGAGGAAGGAATGCCCGTATGCATCCCCGGTTTTATGGTTCAGTCCACCCTCCTCTTCCACTGGAGTCAAATACACAGAGTCTCGCTTGGGTGTAATACCATTTTTATGTATGCTTTTGGTTTTCCTTTTTGGCATATAGATCTGAAATGAAACAAGAAAAGAATCAACTTATCAATGAAACAGTTTGTCAACACACCAGCTGTATGTATAAAGATATTAGGTTTGTACTAACCTCTTTCTCCTTGTGATAATGGCAGGTGAGTGTGTAAGGCAGAGTCTGCAGCGTGGCGTATGCATAGCCAGTGAGAGCCGCCATTACAGTGACCAAGACCACACTCTTGGACAGGCAGATGACCAAAGCGGAGAGTGTGAAGCTCACCATACTGCTCAGGTAGACCCATCGTGAGCCAAAGTGGCGAACCAAGCGACTCATGACCAGGGAGAAGAAGGTTGAGGTAGCACACTGCAGGAAAAGGCCCAGACTGCCCATACGGATGCCTGAAAGAAAAATGTAGTTATTATTACAACAAGCTGCGACAATGAAGTTCAGAGCTGTAAGGGTGACTGCCATCGTTACAAAACTTTGTCCTATTTTATTGTCAGCACAGAAACTATCTGACATTCTTACCCTGGTGCAGTGTGAAAAGCTCTTTGGTGAGCTAGACATCCCTCTGCTCCAGCCAATAAACACACAGGCACAGATTCATTTTTGTCATCTACTGCATGGCATCAAAAGGTTTTCAATTCCCCAAATTAACATGTAAACAGTCAAATTAGTGACAGATTTTAAATCTAGTGATGCATCATGTCTTGTAACTCATAAAAAAAAAAACCAATATAAACCCAAAATGCAGGGTGTGAAGGTGGTAGATTCAGATAACTTAAATGATATGTGAAACAGTCACTAACACAAGAGGTAAAGACAACATTCTTATGACTATGCAACTTCTATTTATAAAGAAACACACTGACTGAATGTTTAGTTCTCCAATACAGAAAACATAGAGTTTTGACTTTTGACAAAATCCCAGGATGCAACAGTTTTCAGTCATAAGGAAATATTTGAGATACATTAAGTCAAGTATGGGAATGGAATTTCTCCATTTTTAATTATGTTTCCTGTTTATCCCCACATTTATCCCTTAATTAAGTTTTTGAGTTTTAGTACTAATCCATGGATGTCTGGACTGTTGCTTGTTTCAGCCTGCTATCAGCCCGATCTCTCAGCTTGCTCTGGGTGAACAGTGTGGGTCAGGAGTTCAGCAGCGGAGCACAGAATCACTTGTGTGAAAGGACTACATGGATCATATTACTCCGGTAAACCGAAGCTGCTGTGCCCACTTTACAAACACTACAGAAGCTAATGAGGACTGAAATTCAAGCCCATAGAGATATGGGACTGAGCCAGAAGGTTACTGAATCTGTGCACAGGAGAACTGCTGCAGGATGGGAAAATTACTGTATCTGGAATATGAGCTTCACAGATAAATACTTTGCATTGCAATCCTTCCCAATAGGAATGATGATCAGAAAAAGATGAAGTTATTGTTAAAAAAATGAAGCAAAAAAAAAAACTCCATGCTGCTATGAAACTAGAGACAAAGCAGATTAACTTTTGCAGAGGAACATCTGTAAGCTGAATGATGTGGTTTAATAACATCCGCTGTGTTTCAAATTAAACGAACGCAGCTCAGACAGACCTCAAAATTGTGTGCTTTGGCTGTCTACCTGGCTTGAATGAACACGTTCTTTGTGTGCCGATTCCTTGACATTAATTCTTTGTGAGTGTGACATTCCTCATGGTCCAGCAAGCAAAGGGAGCAGAGACAGAGGAAAAGTAAAAGGCAAACAAAGTAGGGAGAAAGAAAGAGGTGGAGAAAGAGGGAGGAGAGAAGAATGTGGATGGATGGATGAAAATGTGAAAGAAAGAGGGAGAAAAGAAAGATTGAGAACAAGAATTAGAGAATGAGAAAACAGGTGGATAATAGTTAGAAGGATTGATAAAATGAGAGGGGAAGCTGAAAAGTATATAGTTAAGTAAAGAAAGAAAGGAAAAGCCAAAAGAAGGGAGGGAAATAGGATGTAAGATAGGAAGTCTGGCTGAACAGTAAACAAAAGGAGACTTAGAACACTTGACTCACACATGGCCTGCTATGTTAATAAATCTGAAACTTCTCAACATGGGGCAAGATGATGTGCCTCACATCTTTCTACTTCGGCTTCATTCTTCCCGTCTACTGTTCTTTTTCAGATGTGTCTAATAAAATACACCAAAGAGAGAAGTTTTCCTATCATGCTTGGCCCTCTTACACCACTCACACAACAGATTTGTTAAGGTTTATCCTCTTTAAGACTGTCTATTTAGTCTAAAGGTTATATTTAGGTAGAATCTGACAACCAAGCATTTGCTTGGAATATAACCATTCAACTGCTTAGCAGGATTAGTGACAACCCAGTGATTTACAGAACAGGAAAGGATAAAGACTGTGTGTATTTGTTTACAATTCCTCAGGTGCAGGGGTTGAAGGTAATACCTGAAATACCCTGGATTGACTTGACATTGGCTTAAGCATAATTGCTCAAAGGATTTGTTAGTTGTTCAGTGGCATTACAAGCCAAAATGTTCATCACCTCATTTGAAGTCTTGAATCAGAGTCTATGTTAATGGTTTGTCTTTGCTGTATATGTCCTATACGTTGACAGAGGGCCAACATGAGGGCAGCAGGAAGGCATGTAGGCATGCAGGAACAAAGGCTCTGTCTCTGTCTTCCACCTGTGCCCGAGGAATGTGAGTGCATCCTGCCCAGCTGTGACAAGACAGACTGCACAGCCAGGATGGACCTTAAGCCAGCTATGTGGACAGGTGGTGGAGGTAAAGACATGATGATAAAAAGTCGGACATGACTCATGACGATTGATGATTGCTTCATGACATCCTACTAGGTAATGAAGTTATTTTGGCAGTTTTAACGGACAGAGTTGGAACAAAATCAATATGAACTTCCGTGGACAGATTAATGAAGGCACCGACTAGCGTTGAACGATATGCAAAAACATATTATGATTATTTTGGCAGATGTTGCGATTGCTGTATGAGCCACAATTTTAATAGGAATGGTCATTTTTGCATTTCACAGAAAAAAAATTAAAATGATGTGATTTTTGCTGTACCATGTTCCCTAACATCTGTAGTATATGTATGATTTGTAGGTCAGGCATCTCTATAGCACCACTATGGATTTATATTACATTTAAAAAAAAAGGTATGTTGTGACACATTTAACCTTTTATCAGAAAAATTGTAGCTTCCATGATTTGGATATTGCACTTGGCCTTATTGCGATTTGGGTAATATTTTGATTAATTGTGAAGCCCTAGCACCAACACAAACCAATATCCAGTGTGATTACCACAATTAGCTACCAACACATTTAGATAGATATTATTTGAAGACAAGAGAAATAAGCTCACATAACACAAATCTTAAATGTAATGTACAAAGAGGAAGTCTGACCTTCATTGTATCTCTGCCTGGACACACTTCCTGGTAATGCACTGGGCACACCCTCATACAGGCCTTCCCCCACAAAGTCTGTGTAGAAAAGCATAAAAGACATGACAGCCATCCAACTGCAGAGCTGAGCCACACACAGCTGCCTCATCACTCGTGGGACATGGCAGTAGCTCCTGTAGATGGCCGGGGTCATGGACCAGCATGTTCTCAATAAGCACAGCAGGGGACCAGACTTCAGCAGCCTCAGCTGGCATTTCAGCAGGTAGCAGCATGAGCGCGGCACGCCACACCGACCGGCCTCCATTGGACTAGCCCCAGACTCCAGTAAAGATCCAGACCCTGCTATGCCACCGCTGCCAAAAGAGGGTTCCTCAGACACCTTCATGGTGATGAGCACGCTGCAGATGAAGATGAGGATGAGGAGGGAGAAGAGGCACTCAGCCTGGCCTCCTAGGTAAACAGAGAGTAGGCCACGACTCCAGTCCAGCGCAGGTAGCAAATAACCCACACATCCTCCCAAGCTGACCATGAAGGAGAACATTGCGAAGGCTTGGCCACAGTCCTCCTCGTCCCGGTACAGGTCAGACAAAAGAGCCTCCAGTGGCGTGAAGCAAACTTGTCCACAGAAGTCAAGAAGTCCAACGCCAAGGATAAGGAAGCCCACCTGTAGCAAAAGCATAACCATAACCATGATGGAAAACACAATCAGTTATCTTGTCCTGTGTGCTCTATTCAACAAAATGACAATCAAACAACAAACAGGTATGCTACCTGCAAGGTGCGCCCACCCCAGGTAAGGCGGGCAGCCAGGACGTCTGCGTGGGGAATGATGAAAAGTGCCAGAAGGACTCCCAAAGACAGCAGCCAGATGAAAGGCCGCCTTCTACCATAACTGCTGTTGCAGTGGTCACTGGCTGAGCCAATCAGAGGGATAAACAGCAGGCCAAGCACTGGACCAATACCTGTGAACAGAACAGTCAAACACATAGGAAGTCAAAAACAACACTATAAACCACAGAATCTGTAGAGGAGAAACACCAAAGATGGTGTACGTGGACAAAGGAAAAAAGAAATGTGAACAATACAATGTGCACAAAAATATAAATTAACAATCACTGAAACAGAAACAATAGAAAAAGATATATTTTCTTCATAAAACACTGTCAAATTTTTAGGTATGAAACCTGAAATCACACATTGCCCTTCCTTATTTTACTATCAGATGGTACCTAGACCAACAACACACGTGTACTGTGTAACATCTCTGCTGAGATTTAGTGGCTTCCAGCAGCTACTATGACTGGTTGGCTGGGGTCTTTCATCTCATCCATTTACTAGTGCTGTCTGTTCATTCTTGTTGCTGTCCGACCAGGGGGCGTACAGCACGTGCCCCTCTGCATCATCACTGACTGCTAGTGATGATTCTTACAGATGGCCTGCTGCCTGAAGGTAACCCATCATCAGCTCACCGCCAACACATGGCCAGGTCTGGCTAATTGGAACACACCATGGCACAATGGTTGTTCGCATACAGACACACACACACATTATCTAAAATGACCAGATCTTGGGGCTAGAGTTTGACATTTAAAGGCACCCTGTGGAGCTTCCATTACAGATAAGACACTCATTTTCATTCAGTGTTTCTCATTAAAACGCCCTCTGTGTAAGGCTGAATTCATGCCTGTTCTCATGCCTATGCTCATAAACACAAAATACAAACAATACAAGGAGCTGCTCATCAAAACACTGCTCTATACCACAACTAGGGGTAAAAGAAAAATTCAGTGAAGAAGCATGGCTGAAATACTTAGATCCATTTGTGTTCCTTCTACAGTTTGTCAAGAAACTGAAACAGAGAAAGTGAGACTACACTTGTGCCTAAACTGTACTCCAAAAACCTTCATGTAGGAAACAGACCAAAAAAGCAGGCAGGTAATCTGGGACATAGATGAGCACAGACAGAGAGACAGGCAGGATATCTGAGAAAGCCAGACATGTCAGACAGGCAGTCATCCCCTCCAACACATTTCTTCCTGCTGCAGCTGTGAAGGCCCATCATTACAATCCTCACCATCTACAGCTGTAAGACTGACTGTCTCACACCAACACGCTCCCCAATCAGTGCTGCTCACTACATGCAATACACTACATCATACACACACACACACACCAAAGCATGCTTTCTAGCTCTTATTGAAAGACACACATACACAAATGAGTCTGCTGCCTAACCTAACCCACACATGGTCTTAACCCAATATAAAATGTGTCACATTCCACAATGTGTTTTGTTACTTAAATACAAACCTAAATATACTTTAAAAAAAAAAAAAAAAAAAAAAAAAAAAAAAAAAAAAAAAAAAAAAAAAAAACGAGTAATGGACACCTTGGTGCTAAAAAGCACCAACTATCTTCTCCTCTAACAGAGAGGAAACTAGAGAAAGAAAGTAACAACTGGAGGATGAAGTAGCCAACAAATGGCTGTTAGATAAAGTAGAAAGCAGCCATCTGAGAACCTGACACTGCTGCTCGGGGAAATTAGCTTTAAGCCTCCCAAGACACAATATCTATCTTCATTCAAATAACACTCAGGCACTCCATTATAATACAGCGAGATGAGAATTAGGTTGAGTGCCATTTCCAGATTGGCTTACAGTGCAGTCTGTTTGGGAGGAACTCTACAATGAAATCATTTTTCTTCATATCACCAGCAGCTGTTAGAGAGAAGCGAGAGCAGAAGTGTATATTGTTTAATCTTTATACTTGAATAGTCACTTGTCATCCACACCAAGCCTTTTGGTTCGGTGGAATTGTATCTGTTTAGTCACAAGACAATGTCTCAAAGAGGCGCCTTTAGTGAAGACCATGTGAATGCCATTTAGCCTGACAGGATGCAACTATTCACATCACTTACAAGTAAACTCAGTTACAGTGTGCAAATATATACCATATGGATGATGCTAATTGTGTGTATGTACACACATGCCACTCATTTGTGAGCACCAAGATGACCGTTTTCAAAAAAGAAACCTGTCTGTCTTAATGTTTTCATTACTTGGGGTTCCAAATAGTTTTGGTAAATTCTTACAAAATATTATCAGACTGAAAGGTCAAGGGCAACTAGAACCACAAATATGAACAAAGAAGCTAAATTGAATTATACGTGAGCCAGACATAATGGTGCGGTCATCAGCAGCACATACTCCAGAGTGTGTTTGTAGTGTGTATATCTGCTGTTGCACACAATGAGCTACTTTTTCAAGGCTCTTCACAGAATTACTGGGTATGATAGTGCATGATCAGTAAAATGTTTTGCATCCATATTTATGCACGATCTGTATGTTACAAGATGACACAAATTAATCACCACAAAGTCCTGCTTGTATTATGACTCTCACTGATTCACCTCTGATTCACTGTATGCCAATTTTTTAGGCTGTTTGTGGTGTGTTGAACTGCAATATATTGTTTTTTTTTTCCCAAATACAAAATTTGAAACAGCTTATATTACAAAATGGCCCAAACTTCAGCCACAAAAAGACCATGCTGGATCACTGTATCAATGTCACACAGTCTCAAATTCACAAATGTAGTGTTTATTGCAGGGTCAAGTTTTACTGTGTGGCATCGCTGTTGCTGGAAGTGTGTCCACCGGCTGTATGTCACCAACACGTGCTTCTTCAGTTTTACTTTACACTATATTCAGAATGTAGTCATGTCTCTTTGGTGCAGCAGTCGTCTGAAAGACAGTGGCAGTTTAAAACTTTGAAGTCAAGCAACTGTGAGAGTGTGCAGGGAAAATTGTCTGTCACCTTATCTGTTTTCACCTTTTTTCCCCCGAAGGACACAACAGAAGACACACAGTCTGGGTTTAAACATGTTACATAATAAATCTTTTAAACTATTGTTTTGCAGATGAATCACTGTTTACACTCCAGCTGAATTATCCGCATCTTAGAAATAGTTTCAGACAGCAAAAACAATGTTTGATATTTTACAACTGATTGTTTCCCTGTGCTTTTCAGTGACACTAATGTGCAACCCTATCTTAAGTGTAATGCCACAGGAACATAGGCTTACTGGCATGTACCTTTTTTACAAAAAGAATTTGTTTTCCCCAGGTCTTCAATGCCACTGAAGAGCTGCTGTAATGAAAACTTTCTTTTGAATTTCAACATTTGTTCATTCTAATACTGTTCCATATTTTTCTGCCAGTTCGAGGCCAACACTCCTTTCACAATGGACATAATGCAAAATACTATAGAATGCAACACACAATACTGTAGAAAACCAGAAGAAAGCTGTGATTGATGTGCTGTATCTTGTACTGTATATATTCATTGGTAAGACAACGAGCTTAGAGCTGCCCACTTGTGATCGGATCACCGAAGATGCAGATTAATGACAGGTCTGAACAAGGCCCAAGTGTCAGTGTGGGAGATCATGACTCTACCCCCTCCCCCCCTCCAGGCAGTTTGCTCTCCTGTTGCCTTTCAATTAGTGCCTGATTACCACCTCAACAAAACAACAGGTGATTTGGCCACTGATTAGCGTAACTGCCTCAATTATGTCTTTATGACCTGAAAGAGAAAGAAGTCAGGAGCCCTGGAGCATCGTGTTGGCCTTGTGCAACATTCCACCACCACCACACACACTTGGCTACCACTGGACATGGTTACATCATGCATTCCTTGGAGGGTACAGCCTATTGTGATTTATAATATTTTTGATGAATTTAATAGCAACTAATGAAATTATGTTCCATTTGTATTATGGCTTCAGTGTAGCTGCAGGAAACAAAAGCATTCAGGCAGAGTAAAATAAAATATTATTTCTTTTCAGCCCCACGACAATACACAATGCAAGGTGAATATGTGGCATTCAAGGACTATAAAAATCTATAATTTGAAATACTCAGACGAGACACAGTGGTCAGTAAACAAGGCACAGAGGAGATAGTTGAATTCTAGCAGTTCCACAGTCTATTATCCTTGAGAGTGTGTGCAAGTATGTGCGTATGTGAACAAGGCCACCTTTGCCTGTCAAGTTTAATGAATACCCTGTCAGAAAGGGACAGAGAGAGAGAAATGATGAGAGAACATGCATATGTGTGGAAGAGAATGAGGTAGAAGCAAAACATGTGCACTTGCATACACACACACACACACACACACACACACACACATAGTCACACACACACATTATCTCACCACACTATGAGGAAGCAAAGAGGCCTGGTAACCTGATCCCCCTATTTCAGTCTTCACCCAGCCCTTACCTAGCACCATGGTCATGTAGCGCTCCTCCACTCCAGCCTCCAGCAGCAGTGGGGGCACGTATGTGATCCCAGCTGCCACACAGATCTCCAGGCCACAGGTCAGGGAGTTCAGCAGGACGAGACGCCACTGAGACCTCCATCCAGGCATATTTACGGGGGCTGGCTCGCCTTTCCTCCCTTCTGGGATGGCCACTACTGGGGGCAGGGGAGGGGGGAGGGAGCCGGGCAGGGGCAATGAGGGGAGCGTGGGGAGGCAGATGGTGCCCCAGTGGGACAAGAGGGCTGTTGGGGAGGGACAGCAGCGAAGACACGTGGATGTCTCAGATGACCTGGAAGATTCATCCTCTTCTCAGCATTCTGGATCTGAAGAGGGGAAGAGCAGAGGAGAACAGTGAGAAAAAGAAAAGAAAGATTTTACAACTTTATTTGCGAGAACAAAATAAAGGACACGCCTAAATATGACACACAGAGCCTCAATCAGCCTCTGCATGGCAGTGTGCAGTATGTCTTACAGTATATAATTTTCTGCTGTTTCAGACAAGGCATGCCTCATTAGACAGGTCATCCCCAGGTTGCTACACCTGGCTGTCAGTGGCCAAGGTCGCATGGGGAATATCAGCTTTCTCACAACAGAATCTAATCTCTGCCTATTCCAACGTATTATCCAGAAACATGGAAATGGCAGTGACAGTCACATAGATACGATATTGATGTATTTTCAGATCTCCTCACCAATAGCTTCAGGACAGCAGGAATAACAACAGGCAGACAGAGGAGATGAGTCAGCTGGAGCGACGTGGCAAACACACCAAACCATTTGCCAAGAGAATTCTTTTTCCCTCTGCTGCTATGCTTGCCTTTTTTACATTTCATAATGCGCATGCTAGAGGTTTGAAAAATCTAACTTTGAAAAAGGAATGTAATTTCCCATCTCTCTCCCTTTCACCGAGGATAATAACTCTAGTATTAGGAGGATCTAAAATCCAGCCTTCCCTTGGCTGACCCTGTCATTATCTGTATTATTAAGCTGATTGCAATTTTAGTCACACTTGTGAGTCCTCCTTCCAGAAATTTTCAGCAAGTTACTGCCATTGTTGAGCTGAGTGCACGTGACAGTCTTTAGCACCTGAAAAGGCATCTTACTAGAGAGAGACGATAAGGCAGGAGGTAGTGTAAGTCACATGCGAGAGGGTTGATTTTCACCATGCTAGGTTTAAAGACGGAAATGTGCCAGAAACAGGAAAAGTGACAACAAAGTTATCGACTGTATAGTCAAGGTGGTGTGTTTATATCAGAGGTTGAGCTGCAAGTCAGTCAAGTCACACAAAACAACAAGGTGAACCACAACGACTATCACCTTGATATTTTCTGCACACTATCCCACCACGCCTTGAATGATAACTTTTCCAGCGACAATACCTGACACTCTCCATTACTGGCCTTATTGTAAAGATGGCATGTGTTCATTCTGTTCTGTTCACTCTAGCTGTGCATGTTTAGTGTGATAATAGGAGATCCAGAGTGAATCTAACTGATTTTCACCAGAAGGAAATGAAAAAAGGAAAAGCACAAGATGAGTCAGAGTTTATCTATGAGAGTTCTCTGGAGCTTCTGTCTCAAGGGTCAAATATTTGGCGCGACTTTAATTCAGAAGACAATAAATAACCATATATGACAAAATGATCGAAAGGAATTTCAGCTGTGAAGAAACAATGGAGGAGGCAGATTGATGGAGCAACATGTCAAGTTAATAGCTCAGAATAAGTGTGAATTCATTTACAGATCTCTCTGCTTCTTAGCAAGTACAAAAAAAACCCACAAAAAATATTATTATTATCGTCATCATTCCCGAATGAAGTGTGTTCTTTTAAAGCAGAGGGAAAGAGCAAGAACAGTCAGAACAGCCGCAGACACATAAACAACAAGGTGCTATATTTGCATTTTGTGTGACATTTCTCTGCCAATGCTGCCCATCTGTTCTCTCCCAGAAAACAAAATGGATGTCATCATCTCCAACACGACTTCGCTAATCACAGAAATGTACTCAGCTCAATGAGAGATCTGATCAGATTCGTACCGTATTCCAAAGAAATGTTAGTAGCTTGTGAGGCGGAAAAAAAACAATTTCTTTCACAACATGTACTGAAGAAGCTGATGCAGGGACAAAAACAGGCAGTAATAAAAATAATAATAATAATAATAATAGTAATGATCTTACTCAACACCTTTTATACAAGAAATGCAGCTCAGAGTGCTTCACATGAAAATAGACATCAAATGAACATAAAAAACAGGAATAAAATGCCATAATTTATGTAAACATTAGGTGGAAAATAAAACCAGCTGAAAAGAAAAATAATAATGATAATATTTTAAAATTGTATCGAAAAAAGTATCATTAAGAATCTGTATCAAAGTCAAGGTATCAGTATCACTACCAACACTGAACATTTTTTAACGAGGCTGTTTTCTCAAGAAACCAGAGAGTGGCTTGAGGGTTACAACGAGTAGTGTCCGTCACCAACTCAGAAGTTTCTTATCTTTGAACATCACCACTTGCACAAATCACTGTCAGACTCAGAGTGTCCATATAAACCCTCTTGTGCCTTTCACATCATTATAATTTAAGATGTTAACTGAATGATGCCATCAGAGTTCCTACAGCATTCATACATTCCCAGCTCAGTCATTACGAGCCTTTTGAAATACAGGCTCTTTGAGAATCTGAAGGACAAAGCAACAGTGTTAGCAGGCTGGACCTAGCAGGGGCCTGGGTCACTGAGAGAGAGGACCATTTCACACCCGTCAGATCTCATTCCCACCCAGCCTGGGCACACTGAAAGACACCCATCAGGGGACCAGCCTTTGCCCCTAAGGCCTGTCTGGCCACTACAACCCCCTACCCACGTATTCTGTGTGTATATGTACATTCTCCCTCCCTCCCTCTCTCCTCTGCATTTCTTCCTTATCCTCCCTCAACCCCTGAGGTCAGCTTCATCTCTGACCTGCATTCTAAGAGGACTCTTTTGACATATCTGCCCACGACTGGTTATGCCTTTATGGTTCTACTGAATTTGAGTCTGAATGCTTTCTATTGCTGCCCCAGCTGACTCTATGTCAGACTTTCTCACTGGAAACTGAGGGGCCCAGAGTGGCAAGAATAGAGAAATCTGATTTGTCTACCCAAGCAGTCGTGGCTTGTCTGGACGCCTGCCCAAATGCAAGTCAGATTCCAGGGTTTTGTAAATTGAATGGTTGCTTAAGTCTTGACCCGAGTGGTTGTGGCATGTCAGAGTTAGGACGGTAGGCGAGGGTAGAGGATGGAAGGACTGAAAGACAGTGGCAGGGATCAAGGGAAACAGTGAAAGTAGTGCAGAGCAGCATTTATCAGTCCATTTATCCACCTCAAAGCCACATATAAAAATAACATCTATTTGTTTGTTTTAAATATGGGATTCTTTAGCCAACGCAATGTTTGTGGCACTGTCACAAAACAGAATCGAGGACAGAAGAGAGAAATACACTCAGCCAACCCACACAGTCATTCCACTGCTTGCTTAATGACACCTCTGACTCTGCAATGTATTCCAGTCATGCCCTTCATCGTCTTCCCATAGCCTTGGAGACACAAACACACGCACACACTGTTAGACAAACAACTCTCCTTGTCACCTTACGTGTTTAAACATTACAATCTGAGCCAAGCTGGTAAGGGGGGAGGGGGGGCTGGGGGTCTGCTTTTGTCAGCTCTCCCACTGCTCCATTACCAATCCCTATTCAGCTGCAGGCCCCCCCAAAAAAAATCGCTCCTAATGACTGAGCGGTATTCTCACAATACAAAACAGGCTTTGTATACATTGTGCCAGGGAGTAATGCGATATAGTGAGGTATCAAGTCCATTTCCAAGTCTTTTATTAACACACAGGGTTCATATAGATGGTAGGATACAGAAAGTGTGTGTGTGTGTGTGTGTGTGTGGGGTTGGGTGGACTGGGGCGTGGGGTCTCCCGGCAGACAGCAGGGTTTGGAAGAGAAGAGGGGAAGGAATTGCTCTAAGATGACATCAGAGCCACAACCACAGTGGAGGCTGTGGCTGCAGAAACCTCAGCAGGAGGGTCTGGCTGTGTGTCTGGCTCAAGCTGAATGGCTGCAGCACTGTGGCCTTCCTCCCTTTGAGTTCCTTCACATTAATGGACCTGACCGTCTGCATGGAGTGACAACAGGACCAGCCTTTATGCTGACTGCTTCCCTGGCTCACTTCCTGCAAACCCTTCTCTACGGCTGTCCTTCTCTGTTCTCTGAATAACACAAATAAGTTGAGATGGGGCAACTCTTAATGAACAGTGCACTGCTTGTAATGCCACTATAATATCACTATCTCTGCATTTCTCAAAAGTGCCAACTTGGCATTGTTGTGGGAGTCCTGGGAAGAGGGACATCACTGAATGGTGTCACGCTCAGGGGGACCCAGGCAGTTCCCTTCTAGATGATGTCCTCAACACATACTCAGAGGTTTCATTCAAGGATTTCTACCTGATGTCAGAACTGACGAACAACTGAACAATTTAATGAGCAAATCTTTGTGCTGATTCAAACAGTGTTGTACATAGGGCTGTCACAGGATCAGATTTTCTGCACAATTATCGTTGGCATAAGGATTCCTGATAACAATATCGCAATATCGATAGAAAATGAGTGTTGGGAGGTAGAGTCTGTAACCATAACTGTACAAAAGCATGCAAAAAGGACAATTACACTTAATGGATAGTGAAATGACCTGATTAACTGATAAACAAAAGATCCACCATGCCTAACATTTAGCATTACATATTATCATGTGTATTGTAAAGATAATATCAATATTTCATTCTATATCGAAGTTTTCGTCAATACGGGTATATCGTCCTGCATGAGATTAATTGACACACTATTACCACCTCTTTCAGTCCCTCTCCTAACATTTCATTTTCTCAGATTTTAAGTCGTGCTCTGACAGAAAGTGAAGAAAATGTTCGCCTTGTTTCTGTTGCACAAATTTGATTACTGGACCACAAACTGTATATTAGCTGTATATCAGCTGTATGCTAGCTAGCAGCAGATGCACAGTCTGCGTGTTTGGGAGTGTGTCTGTTGTGTTCAGCTCAGCGGTGATTAAACTTTTCCTTTCATCTGTACATTTATGAAACAGGTTCATAAAGCAAGATACAAAAAAATGTATCAATTTGCACGACTAAGTGAATATGGGTCGCATTTTCAAAATTCACTTTGCACTCTGAGCACACAGTTTCACTTGAAATGACACATGAGCTCCTTTCAGGTCTTAAGTCTTAACTGCTACCAACACTTTCAGTGCTTTAATTGAC